ATTTACACTTACAACCTTCAGGGAATCAAAAATGTCTGCTTGCTTACTCACTGAAGACCCTGCTGTATTGCATTTTATTTTTCATCTTCCTTTGGCAGTTTTATCCAAGTCTGTAATTTTATCTTTTATATTTTAATTCTAATTCAATTTTTCTTATTTATCTTATAGGCTGAATTTACAAATTTTTTACGTTTCATTGACTTTTTGTTTTATGCGATTTCTCTTTGACAATTACCTGCTATTTCAGATAAGGACTTACAAAACATTAAGCTTTTCAATTTGGTAGATCACAATCAACAGTTGTCTATAAGAAAGCCCAAAATGCAAAAGAACTAAAAAAACCATTTGAATTAGTAAGGTGCTGAAAATTCCTAAGGGTTTGAACAGACCTTCCATGGATCATCTTTTTGAGTAATGGAATGAAATATTTGAAAACACAAAACAGAATCTTAGGGATCACAGGTTTAATATAAGTAAGCCTAGTTGCAGACTTGTAATTTGTACGAGATACGATATATATATTTTCAGTTAATATAACTATTTGCTTGATCATATAGTTTGTCCTTTTAGATTAAATTATCGTAAAATTTTATTTCAGTAGACAAGTCCCTTTAATGTGTATTAAAAAAATTATTTGGTTTAGATGTGACCTTCATGTCTCTAATGTACTTCTGTTACCTTGCCCTTTTTTATATACTTAAAAAAATAACTGTAAAGACTTTGCATTATATAATCAATGATCTTAAGTCAACATGCTAAATGAACTAAATCAGATACAAATACAACAGCCTATTTACCCTGCATTTGCTTGTGATAATGCCACAGTCTTTTTAACCTTAAAATGCTTGGAAATTTACTATCAATGCTGTGAACAAAATGTTAACAATGTTTATTTTTATAATAATAATCCATAAATTTGTACTTAGTTACTTGTTCAAAATTACATTTTTTTTTTAAATAGTTCCAATTATTTTTTTTTATAAAAAAAAACATGTGCCCGAATATTTTTGTTCCAGTTTTCTTAATTTTTTTTGCATTAACAAACTCAAACAAATATCATTTATGATTATTACATATACTAGAATGCATGCAATTTCTATCACAAGTGTACAGCTATTGATTACAGCATACTTTGCATCAGTTTAAAGATGGCATATTCAATACGAACTGAACTCTTCCCCTCCTTATGATTGACCATTATTTGACAAAAGGATGTGTATTCACTTATAACTGGAGAACCTCTGAACCAATTATCACCAAACCTGGTATGTACCTTTAGCCCTCTGTTCCCCTGGTGAGAGACATGGGGGAAGTCATAGTTCAGATCTTCCCCCTATGCCAGTCCTTTGATTACCCTCTGGCTTCCCCCAAGTGTTATATAAGCACATCAGCTAATTCTTCCTAAAGCATGAGCTTACTGATTAGCTCTATATAATAGTTAATACTTACAAGTTAGAAAGAAATGAAACGTTTTGCAGTTTGATTCTTTCAATATTGCCTAGTAATACTAATAGTAATAATGCACTATTTCAGTTTTAATTAACCCTAAAACCCAACATTACCCATCTAGTCTACGTTATGAAATTTTATTTTACCTTAAACTAACGTTTGTTGTTATTTTTTCACACCAACAACCAATTAATAATACTGTAAAGAGTAATTTGCAGTACTACTACTATTAGTACTGCTAACCATAGTATTAGTAGATGCAATAAAAAATACTATGCAAAGTCTAAAGTCACAAATACTGACTGAAACAGTCTAATCTAATCAAGCTAGTCAACCCACACCCAAGTTTTTATTTTTGACGACTACGACTCTTGACTTTAAGTTCAGAGATAATCCAACGTTTAGCCTAAACAGTTGCATGTTATTCTATAAATAGGGCTAAATTAAATTTACGCAGAAAAATGTTGGTTAGTCCTCGCGAGTCACAGTCACTGTTTAACAATAAAGCTATAGCTTAGCTTACAAATTCCAAACTTTTTAAATTACCAAGAACTCTTTTGTTTTTTACAGTTTCTGTTTTTTCATCAGCTTGACTCTCGGGTTCTGTCATAGTTTTGATGGTGGAAAAGTATTTGTCTCGTGGAGTTGAAATCTCTCCCACAGCCTCCGTCCTCTTTCTCTGATGTTAATCCACCGCTCTTCCTTTTACTTTGTTCAAACGTTGGTTCGAGCCGCTTGTCGGAAAGTCGAAAAACACTCGTATCTAATTGTACAAACACTATCCCCCATTGGATATTACAAAGTAACGCAATTGTTATTTCAATTCTATTATCTAATTTATATATATTCTTTTTGTGTTATTTACCCCTGTAGAAAATAATAAACTGTAAATTCTAAATAGATTTTTTTAATACTGTCTAACCTTGCATAACCATTTTCTTGTGCCTATTTTTAAAAACCTAAGAATGACTTTATGAACATCGTCAAATAACTTTAGTGGATGCACTTACAATTCTCAATATAATTTGGGTAAAACAAGAATGAAATATTGCTGCATATGAATCATATTGTCTTGCTGCGCAGCTGCAACTATTCACTTGTGTTGATATTAATATATTTCCAACTCTTTTAAACAATTAGTTTTATATTTAAATCTATGTTTGAGCCCAGTTTAAAGTATATACCATTTTAGGTGTGGTGCCATGATATTCTCATTGTGCTCCATATGTGGTATTATTGTAAGTTATATTTTAATATAATTTGATAGTTAGAGGGCGTAGAACACTTAGATGGTTAAAAAGACTTTATGTCAGGTTTTGTTCTATCACAATTTTTAAGTAAAACAATTAGGAAGTAGATACAGGAGCACCAAAAAGTAAGGAAACGATAAAAAATGGAGGAGGGGATAACATTACAACACTTGGTGGTTTTTGAAACCGTACAACTTCAAAATGGGTGTGGTCATTCCTACTCCCTGTATTTTTGTAACTTGGTGATTGTTCAAACTAAATGAAAGGTGTATATAGCTAAATTTCTCTGTTATAAACTTTGTTTCAGCAACCAAGTACAGATACATGTATGTAATCAAATTATTGTGACCCTAACAAAATGCATGACATTTATACGGGGGTGTTTCATGTTGGAAGTGAGACAAGAAGTTCCAGTAGTCATACTTTGTGAAAACATTATAGCTATCTGACTGGTACGGGATGGGTCAAAAGAATAGTATCAAAACCGCTAATTTTTGAATTTTTTAAATTAATTTGAAAACAATGCAAGGGTAAATTATACAACTTATTGTTCTTGTTTTCAGTTCAGAGCACTCAAGCAAGGTTTTATCAGACTTCGGCAGTGCTAGTGTTCGTCCTCATCTGGGAGACTCACGTTTTAGGCACCAACTGCTATGATCAGTGGCGTAGCGAGAGGGAGGCGGGGGAGGGCAGTCACCCCCGGGCGCAGGTGTGAAGGGGCGCAAAATTTCCTCTGGCCTATAATGCCTATTAATTAATGATTATGCCCTTCCTTAGAATATAGCGCAACTGCCCTACATTAAGTAAATACGACACAGTGTTACGTTATTTGTGTGTATTACGCTTGCAGTTTTAACTTTTAAAAGCCGCCCACTAAAATACAGTGAGACCGAATTGACGTACAGAAGTAAATTACACTATTCCATCATTCATCTGTACAAATACAAGTCCTAGAGTACAAAGTACAAATAAGTGTATGTTCAACAAAAAGAAAATACGAGACTGATGTAACATATTAAATGGTGTGCAAGATTGGCAATATATGTAACAGGCAAGGCCTAGATCTAGATCTAGTAAACATTATAGGCCAAATGGTTTGTAATTGTATTGGCTGAGTGTAAATCATGTCTTACACCAACTAATGTACTAGACTTTAGGTCTAATTGCAGTTATAACCTTATTTCTAGACCCTAGGTCCATCATCATACAAATTGTAGCCTATATTATAGACATACTTAGACCTATACTAACTATTAGACTAGGCATTGCACTGGGACATGACTAAGTTAATAGATCGAGATGTAAAATTTTGTTACGTCTCTGGTCATTAGTTAATTTTCCGTAAAAATTCTTTCCGAAGAAACTTTAGCGATACAAGTCCTTTCTTAAATAAAACTAGTTTATTCTTTTTCAATACAACTTTGCAATACGCTTAATTTCCACAGTCACGCTATAAATTTAACAAACGCTATAATTCCCAACGAACGACACACGCGCTCGACCCAATTGTCCGTCTCTATCTGCCCCCCAGTGGTACAGCGGTATGTCTGCGGACTTACAACGCTAGAAACCGGGTTTCGATACCCGTGGTGGGCAGAGCACAGATAGCCCATTGTGTAGCTTTGTGCATAACTACAAACAAACAAACCGTCTCTATCTCTGTCTGTAATTCAACTGCATTCCCTCCTTGCCGTCACTTCTTGGCGGTCTTATACACATGAATACCGCATATCTAGTAAATACTCGAGCATACACGAACCTTCGAGAATATGACGTGTTACTAGCGTCACGTGACCCCCGCTGTCGTAACAATTTGTTCTAAAAGTTACGCCTAATAAATTTAAATCTAGAATTGATGAGGCAGGGTTATATCTAGATCTGGGTAGATTCAATACAAGGTGCTTTCAATCTACGCACCCAAATCTAAGGTCTAGTTTAGATGTATAAAGCTAAATTTCTGGCATTATTATTATTACATCTAGATTCAAACCTAAGACTAAAAAGATGGAAATAACAGGTCTAACATTAATGTTAGATCTAGATGTACTAGCGACTTAATCTAGGAACTGTAATCTAGCACCACTAATTAGTTAGCCTATATTTAAGTTTTCTCATTCTACCAAAACATTTAATATTAAATATAGTCTTTAAGACTCTAGGCTTATATTATGTTATGATTATACCCTTCTTCACAGTGTTTTTAATTTTCATTAGAGCAGTTTCAGACTTGTCTCCTGTAGTGTTTGTGTAGTTAAACCTATCGAGTTTTTAAATGTGATTTAGCAACTGCCAGTAATTTATATGGTGCTCATAAACATGATTTACTAGCATATACACTCATCTGCATTGATTTTCTTACTGTTGTGTCATATTAATTAAAATGAGTATGAGTGGTCTAAATAATGGCAGTTAAAGTGAAACCAGGTCCAGATGTGCCAAAGTAGTCCTGAGTTGCAATTATAATTGTATAATTTAAATATACTTTGTGGTTAGGAACTTAGGAAAGTAGAATGCTTCCTTCCATCTGACAATTTGCATGTTGCAACTAAATAGTGTAGTCAGTATTTATTAGTTTATTCTTTTAGCCCATTTTGTCGAAAAAAGAAAGTGGGGCACAGAGACGTAAAAGACGTGCACAATTTGCAGCTTCGATGGTGGAGTCAAGCAAATTAATGAGAGCTTTCCTTGCTGGAAGTGATGACACCAGTAAGCCAGCATCTTTTCGTTTGAGGTTATGTCCACAAAATGCAAGATTCTGAGAAGCTAAATATTGTGTACAATCCAGCAACCGTCGCAGTACATCTCCCCATTTATTTTTTTCTTGCTGAATTTACCTTTGCAGCTCTTCATCAATGCCACTTTGAATACGAATCCAGTGCTCAGTTTCTTTACAAGCAGCAAATGGCTCACGATGACTGTTACTATTTTCATGGTCATTTAATTTTTAAATTTTTTTTCACTTAGAGAATCCACCCTGTGTTTCGAAAGCAGACCAACTATCGGATGTCATACATGTAGATGAAAGAAGAAGACAACAAAAGCAGTATGCTGCTTTATGTAGAGATGAATACACCAACCAGGAACAATTGATCTCTTGTCCATTCAAAAAACGTCGTTTGAACCAGAATGCAGTCGTAGAACGCCATCTTTGGCATCAAATGGACCCTCTTTATGTTGAAATTCAATGTGCTCCAACTTTAACAATCTCTGTGCGAAGTGCATGTGTTATAAATGCTGAGCCTGTTGTATCAAACTTCATAAATCCAATATCCCTGTGTGTTAAAATATTTATTAGGTCATCCTCTTTTAGCTTAGCAACACTATTCTCTGGATTTGTTTCTGACAAAGTGGAATCCTCTTGTTTACTATTATTGTAGCTTTCAACAGGACAGAGAACAGTTTCTTCATTGTTTTCTTTTTCAAATGAAATAGCATGTTCACAATCTTGCACTTTGACCTCTTTGCTGCCATCAAAAGGAACACCCTGGAAATTTCCTGTCACTTTTGCAGTTATTAGCAAAGTATGATCCAGTAATGAGTGAGCATTTAGAGCGTGTTAAAAACAAGCAAACGTCAACATCTTATCTTTCTCCTGAAATCCAAACTGAGTTTATAAATCTCATGGCTTCACATGTGCGAAATTATTGTTTGTCAGCAATTCGTAGAAACAATACTATGGTATTCTGTTTGATTCCTTACCTGATTTAGCCCATCATGAGCAATTAGCCCAAGTGATTCGGTTTGTTGACATTGACTTTAAACAAGAAAAGTAGAAGTCAAAGAGTCATTTATTGACTTTATACAGATAAAGGAAAAAGACGCTGCCAATATTGAGAAAACAATAAGCACAAAATTAGAAGCGGATGGAATTTTATTGAGTGATTGTTGTTCACAATGTTATGATAATGCTGCTGTCATGTCAGGTCATATGTCAATCGTTCAACAAAGTCGTTCAAAAATCCAAAAGCAGTGTTTATAAACTGTGACAACCATAGTTTGAACTTAGCATGTCTTCATACTGTAAGTCAGAAAACAACAGTTATTAACTTTTTGGTATAATTGAAGCCATTTA